TTACTCTAGTGGGATGTTTTATTATTTAATTCCATTAAATAGGAATTAATTTTATTTCATATTAATTAATTAATTAGGAGAATAAATTTCCTACTAGAATCTTCTCTTGGGATTAGGAGACTTGGGAGTCTTCTAGAAGATGAAGATTAGTGGGAAATATAGTTCCTACATTATATTATTAATTGGAGTAAAATTAGATATCCTAAATTAGGAATTAATTCTATTCCATGATTATTAATTTAATTAGGAAAGGAAATTCCTACAAGGATTTTCTCTAGTGTTAGGAGACTTAGGAGTCTTCTAGAAGGGAAGGATTAGTAGGAGATCTTCTTCCTAGATTGAGTTAGTATTGGATTAGAATTAGGTTTCCTAGGCCTAATGGAATAAGCCCATATTTAGCACCTCCTTAAGGTCCCTAATGGAGCCTATATATACACCATGTCCCAATCTCTCATACAAGTTGATGTTGGCTGATTTTCTCACCTACATACACGAGAGAAATATCATCGTGGAGAGTTAGGGAGATTCGATTAAACGCTCTACCAAGTTTAATCGGAATGGGTGTTTAGGTAATCCATTAGAAGGCTTTTTGGTACAATTGATTGAGCTTTCTAAGAACCAAAAATTCCGGTCATCATCATCATCATCACCGCCATCCGCCGCCGTGAGGAATCGCCGGAAATCGCCAACTGCTGCCGGACGCCACCCAAACCCAGCCACGCGCAACCGCACGCTACCGCGAGCAGTCGCGCGCCGCCGAGTCTAGTCCGCGACGCCCAGCAACATTCCGCGAGCCCCCAGTGCACGCTGTCAGTGCCCACGCTCGCTAGAAGTTCCGCGTACCCCCAGTGCACGCTGCCAGTGCCCGCGCACATCGTCCGCGACACGCACGACGCCCGCACCTGCTCGCTGTCTGCGCCCGACGCGCATGCCCGCTGCACCCGACTGCCGAGACCAAGCCACCGTCCGTTCGTGTTCCGTTTGTCGAGGTTATTAGAATCAACTAAAGGCCAAACCTATCCGCCCATTAGGTTGTGGTGTTCAGACGAACTTCACCAACGGTACTCTACATCGTCTCAGAGTCGGCAAAAATTTTAAAAGGTAAACGTCCATATCCTAACTATAGATTCCACTGCGTTAGGATTTATTTCGATAAAGTTCAATGTTGTGCATGTTGTTTGACGTTCCTAACAGAACCCAACAACTGGTATCAGAGACCAGGCTTAATGCAAACTCGTGCACAGTTTGAATTTTGGACTTTGCATGTCTACATGAATTATGTGCGTACGGACGCAGCGGCATTGTAGAATAGAAATTTCAATAAGTTTTTGCAGGTGTTTCGAATCCGACTATTATGGCCCGTATGTATGGATTTTAATTCATGTTGAATGTATGTTGTTTTTAAAGCCTTGGACATGTCAAGGAATTTTTGGGTTGGTGAATGCTTGTAATAAATTATTCGCGCGGTGGGACACCGCATAGTTTATTGCTTTCATAGAAACTCATGTACGGCTCCTGCGTGGGTCATAGGATGAATTATGTAATTGTTGTTTATATTATTCGTTATTTATCCGGCGGGCGTGGACCAACCTTGACGGGGCGAGGCATAAACACGTACACGGAAGCCATGGTGTTAATCCAATGGCGACTTTCCCGAAGACGACCAATTCAGTGGGAGTCACTGCGAAAGAGGGAGTTCCAATACCCGAAACGGAGGGCACACTC